TTTTCTTAGTTCCTTCAGCTTAAGAAATGTTGATCCACAATCAATGCCGATGGAAACAGCAGTCAGAAATCATAAGACTTATTGCATTAGGGATATCTGCTGCAAACAAAACCAAACAAAACAAAAAAGCTTCTTGAAACTGTAAAGAAGCAAAGATGTCAATGTGAGGACTAAGATGTGCCTGAACCAAACAATGCTATTTTCAATTGCCTCATATGCATGTGAATGTTGGACAATGAGAAAGGAATAGTGCAGAAGAATAGATGCATTTGAATTACGGCTTTGAAGAAGAATATTGAAAGTACCAGGAACTGCCACAAAAATAAACAAACCTGTGTTGAAGAAGTACAGTCAGAATAGTCTTTGTTGTTATTATGTGCCATTGAGTTGGTTCCACTCATAGTGAGGCTATAAATCTTTATAGAAGCAGAAAGCCTCATCTTTCTCCCATGGAACAGCTGGTAGTTTCGAACTGCTGACCCTGAGGTTAGAAGCCCGATTTGTAACCACTACGCTACCAGAGCTCCTTACTCATTGCTAAGTACCTGGAATTGGTTCTGACCCATAGCAACCCTGCACTGGGTTTCTGACGCTATAAATCTTTACCGGAGCAGAACGCCTCATCTTTCTCCTGCGGAACCGCTGGTAGTTTCAAACTGCTGACCTTGAGTTTAGCACCTTGATTTGTAACCACTGCACTACCAGAGCTCCTTAGAAGTCTTAAAAGTCAGTATGGCAAGACTTTATTTATCATTCTTTGGACTCCACAGTAGGGATCAATTGCTGGAATAAGACATCATGCTTGGTAAAGTGGAGGGTCAAGGAAAAAGAGGAAGTCGCCCAACAAGACAGACTGATATAGTGGCAGCAACAATGTGTTCAAACATAACAACAACTGTGAAGCTGGAGCATGACTATGCAGTGTTTTGTTCTACTATGCATAAAGTTGCTGTGAGTCCAAACTGATTTGATGGCCCCTGGCACTGTGGGTTAATGAGCCAGACTGCAAAGCTGTTTGAACTGCAGTGTCGGCGCTTCAAAAGCTCACCAGCTGCTTCTCTGAGACCCTATACAGGGTCGCTATGGGTCAGAATCGACTCGACGCACGTCACAACAACAACAACAATTAGTGGTTACAAATCGGGCTGCTACTAGGGCAGGTCGAAACTACCAGCTGTTCAGTGGGAGAAAGATGAGGCTTTCTGCTCCCGTAAAGATTTGCAGCCTTGGAAACCCTGTACAGGGTCACTATGAGTCGGAACCAACTCCGACTCCACGGTACTTAACAACAACAACAATCACAATAGCGTCCTGGTGTGGCGCTGAGGGTCAATGTGCTGGACTGCAAAGTCGTTTGAACTGCAAGGTCAGCGGCTCAAGCTCACTCATAGCAACCCTGTACAGGGTTTCCAAGGAGTGGTTGGTAAGCTTGAACTACCAACCTTGAGGTTCAAACCAACCTTGCAGTCCAGTGCATTAACCCACAGTGTCACACCAGGACTTGGCACCGTATCGTATTGTGGTCTTGATTTGTATTTCTCTTTATGACTAATAATGTGGAGCATCTGCTCATGTGTTTGGTGGTCCTTTGAATGTGCTCTTTGGTGAAATATCTATTCAAATCCTTTGCTTGTTTTATGATCGGGTTATTTGTGTTTCTGTTGTTAAGCTTTTAAAGTTTTGTATACACATAATCTTTAGATTCTTATCAGATACATGGTTTCCAAAGTTTTTCTACCAGTCAGTAGTTTGTCTTTTCACATTTTTGGTAAAATCTTTTGATGAACAAAGTTTAAAATTTTTATGAGGTCCCACTTATTTATATTTTCTTGTTGTTTTGGGGGTAGTTACTATATAAGGTTATTGATTGCTAAAAGCTATGTCCAGCCATGTTTTGCATATTAATGAAGTCCAATTTGTCTTTTATTTTTCTTTTATGGTTAGAGTTTTTGTTGTTGTTTTAACTAGGAAATCTTTTGCTTCTCCAGTCTTAGCTTATGTGTATAGACATGTGATCCATTTCAAGCTTATATTTGCATATGATGTGACGTAAGCCTCAGTGTTCATTATTTCATATGGATATTTCCATATGGAGTTATTCTAGCACCATTCATTGAAACTATTGTACTTTCCCCCATGGGATTAATTATCTTGACATCTTTTCAAAATTCACTTGACCATATGGATGTATATCTGGATTCTATTGTAAAATTTTTAAATCTACATCTTTATGTCCACCACCTTTTTTTTAAATTGTAGCTTAATAGTAAGTCTTAATTTCAGGTTTGTATGTGCTCCAATTCTGTTCTTATGCACTTCATATAGACATCAGACTTAGCTTCTCAATTAATAATAATAGCAATACATTTTTTGGAGTTTTGATTGGGAATCCATTAAATCTCTAGGTCAATTTGGAAAGAACTAACATTTGAACAGTATTAAGTCTTCCAATGGATGGACATGGAATAACTGTTTATTTCGGTCTTCTTTAATTTCTCTCAGCATAGATTTATAGTTTTTACTGTGTAGACTTTTCACATGTTTTGTTAAATTTATCCATATGTATCTCATGTTTTTGGATGCTGATGAACATTGAATGGTTTTCCTGTAAACTCTGATCTTGTTACGTTGATGCTATATCCTGAGGCCATATTAATCGCACTACAAGTTCTAGTAGCTTTTTAGTGAATTATTTTAGATTTTCTAATTACATGATGTGTCATCTACAAATAAATACAATTTTACGTCTTCCTTTCCAATCTATTATTATTATTATTTTTAACAACTGTTTGTAGGATAATGCACTGGACTGAAAGGTCAGTTTGAACCACAAGGTCAGAGGTTCAAACCCACCAGCTGCTCCTCGGAAACCCTATTCAGGGTCATTATGAGTTAGAACCGACACGGTGGCACTTAACAACAACAACATAGTATCATGAAAGAACCCTGGTGACTCAGTGGTTAAGTTTTTGTCTGCTAACTGTAAGGTAAGTGGGAACCCACTAGTCTCTGGCAGTAGAAGGATGTGGCAGTCTGCTTCAATAAAAGATTATAACCTCTTTGGAAACCCTATGGGGTAGTGGTGGCAGGCTGGACAGGAAATGTTTTCCACAAGAGGTGCATGGGCTAGGGTCTTTTTATAGCATGGGTATACAAGCTTCACTTGTCAGGGCAGTTAAGGGTGGTATGTGGAACAAAGATGTAGGAAAAACAGAAGCCATGGTTTGATCCCTCCTATTGAGAATGTGCATTTTCACTCTGGATAATACTGAATCAGAATCTACATTTTAAGAAGATCCCCAGGTGAATTTTACAGATCCTGCTGAAATAAATGTAGGTTCTGATTCAGTAAATCTGGGGTGGAAAGGCACGTTCTACACAGGTCAAACTCGAATGAATCAGTTCCACTTAACCTTAGTTCAAACTCTTCTCTGGTATTTTGCCAAGCCTTAATTCCTTCAGGTTCCCTATGGCAATCCAAGACTCTGAGCTGTTTTGAGTTCACTGTCCTGTGGTAGCACAATGGTTAATTGTTAGGCACCTAACAGAAAAGTTCTGCAAGTTGGAACTCATCAGCGGCTCTGGAGAGGAAAAGACCTGGAGATCTGCTCCCTAGAATACAGTTTTGGAGAGTGTGTTGGGGGTGGTTCTACTCTATCTTGTAAGGGTCACTATAAGTTAGAATCAGAATAGACAGAAGGCACCAAACAGAACTCACTCACCCCAGGAGAAACCGCAAAATTGGAACAATCTTATTGTATGCACCTTTTATGTGCCCTATAATAAAAAATGAAACGAGTGAAGTGGGAGCTTTCTTCTCAGAAGAACCTAAGATTCAGTCTTTAGAGGGAATACCTACCTACAATATTCAGAAACTGCAGTCCAAATGTGTTGGTTCCTACAAATGACTCTAGCAAAGACAAGGGGAACTTAGACATTGGCTGCCTCAGAAACCCTGGGCAGGGTCACTATGAGTCGGAACTGACTCCATGGTACTTAACAACAGCAACCTAAAATGAGGGGGCAATAAAAGCAGGAAGTGACTGGCTTACAGTTTCAAGAGGGAGTTTAG